GGGGAGGGTTCCTGCGCACGACTCCTTGTTAATCGGTGCTGCGCCCAAACATAGTCCAGGAGGCGAAGGTGTGACTGTAATGAGTTGAGACGCTTAAGCTCTGACATGCGGCACTCGGGTCGAAAACAAAATCGGGTCAGCAATGGCCACTGTAGGGACTGCTCCACATTTTCTTTAAGCAATTCATAAAACTGCGTTGAATGCAATGGAGGCAGTGAAGTCAGAATGATTTGCAGATAGTGACTTCATTGTGGAGTGTTTTGCTTCTTTGAGCAATGTTGTGCCATACACAACGTGGCACTTTGTGGGAAAGACTAGTTTTCAAAATGAGAAAACAGCTAAAATGGTTCACAGTTTGATTTTGTACAGCTAAAATTTATTACTATCACCATTCTTATGAGAAACATGTTTTGTATTTCTTAACTTCAACCATGATATGGTGAATGTTAGTAAGTTGGGCTCGGCCAGATGATGAAAGAAGCTTATGGAAGCGATGATAGTAGTGTACCAACTGGGTGAGGGCTAACTGAAGTAACGATGAAGCCGTTACAAGATTGGAAAATGATGTAAGAACTTCCTTGTTCAGATCCTCTAAAGATCGTTTCCAGTTGGAATTGAATGCTTGTACAAGTGCCAAGGATTTCTCTAAAATACAACAAAGAATTAATGTAGGACATTATCTTAATGTACATCTCTTTAAATTGTCCAAAAGTTAAAAAATTGACTTACTTTCTTGCTTTTTAAGTTCTTCTGCCTGATTTTTTTCAACTAATGCTTCACCTTCTTTGACAAACTGCATAAGACCACCGAAATGAGGTGAGAGGATTTCTTCAACATATTCAGAACTCCGTGAGGAGAGCAACTCACGGAAACATTCACCTTCCTTTGAGTTTTCTCTTGTCCTCTCCTACAACAAAAGATTAAATAATCAAATTCTATAATTTAAATTTTAACTGAAAATTGGTAAAGGATTTCCCAAACTTACAGTTAAAACGCTTAAAACCATGTCATAATTATTTATAAGAAAAATAAGCTGCTCCTTACGTAGTTGAAATATAGCTGCCATTCGTAAAATAAACAACTCAACTTCTTCTTGAAGCTCAGCAAGCAGACGAGTCACCAAATCATTTGGGAAGTTCTCGCTTATGCCGAGTATGGCAGCACTGTACTCGGCGTACCGCCGCGTTATCTACAAAAAGACAAACAGTTAAAGGTTCCAGCGCCACAGAACATACGAGTCACTAAAATTAAAACACTTACAGCATGAGGCCGCATCTCTTTCCCAAATTTGGTTGGATCACAATCTCTGACACTTTGAATGTTTTGCTGAAATACAAACTCAAACCTTGAAAGAAAAAAATTGAATTGTATTTCAAAGCACATGTTTCACAACAGAAAACTGACCTAGGCCAGATGATACTCTGAAGGCTGTCAAAGTATTGATCAAGCGCAGGGACAGCCCTCTTGTGACAGAGCAATTGATAGCGTAATATGATGTGAACAGACAGGAACAAGGCAATTGTATCATAACAATCCTGGGCGTATGTGTCAAGATTTTTCTACATGTAACAGGAAAAAAACATTATTGTTTTTCGACACACAATTCAAATTTTGTACGTAAATTGCACAAATATATACAGCACTATACTCACAACTAGTAGACCCAAGGTTTTTCCCATGACTTGATCAAAAAATTCCATGGCAGCAGACCCACCCATCATGAAAAATTCACATATGAAAAGGTATTCTCGACAACTATTGTCAACCAGGGCAAATTGTTCACTTCTAAATAGAGCCTCGAATGGATACTGAAATGGAAAATGGTAAACATGACATATGCATTTAACTAAAATGTATCAATGTAACACATTTATATTTACCCTCGCATCACATTTTTGAGCAGCATGTGGGACGATTATTGGAGCCTCCAAACCCTCAGGGCTCAAAACATCTCCTCTGCTTCCAATTGTGAATACTGTGCTTTTATTCTTTAATGGTGTCTTGTAGAATAGACCACGAGATCCTGTCTCTTCAATGCCCATCAGATCATCTCTACTTGCATGTTCTTCAAACTAGGTAGTCAGAAAGATACACACATATCAAAGTAACAAAACAAAATAATCTTTAAAAATAACTAAAATAACACTTAAGTAAAAAATTCAAAATGACTACCTGGAGCTTAGAAACTCTGGAGGAGTATGCCTTAAAGTATGTATAATATATTTTTGACATAGTATCAATGTACTCAGCACAAATCTCCTCAGCCACGTTTCTTTCATTGGTCATGATAAACTCAAAAAAGAATCTGAAACAAAATGTAATATGTATCCACATTGTAAAACTCTAGTACATCAAAATGTATAGGACAACTCTTACTTGAATTTTAACATATTATTTTGAGGAACCTGAAAATTAGCATTTGGTTTTCTAAACTTTGAAATTTGTTCCAGGAGATAAGATCGGATCTTAGCAATTGCTTTAAGCTTCAATTTCTCAACTATATCTCTCACATCCTGTGATGAACGTGTATCTGCAAACAAAATGTTAACTTTACACTCCTTCATTTTTGTTTCAGTAAGATAATTGAACACGAATGAATGTGAAGTCACAAACCTTTAAAAGTTTGCTCTTTCATAAAGTTGATTTTTTGATTCAAAACCTTAAGTTGAGACAAAAATTCTTTTTCAGCAACTGGCTCTTCAACAATTCCTCTAAAAACAATAATTTGTAACTGATTAAAATTCAAAAAAGAATAAAAAAACTGATGGTCATATAAATTTGGTTACATACATAATGAGAGCCTCGGAGACCGCCAGGTCATTTATAAACTGAGCAATAGGCGCCCGGACGGCTTGACGGTTCTGGAGTTTTTGGCTCATGTCAATGGATTTTTTTTGAAGACATAAAATCTCAGTACTTATGCTTCCAAGATCTGACTGGAATCCAAGGAGCATAGTCTCCATACGCTACAATCAAAACCATTAAATTAGATAGATACCATGGAGAGCTGTACCCTAAAGAAGCAGGAACATATCTGCCAGGAACAAAACAATATGGTATTGGTTTGGCAATGGTTGTCTGCACAACAAATTACAGCTCCAAACAAATGTAATTTTGTTATGTTCCCGGCCAATCCTCCAGCTCTCCTTCGTTGGGGTGAAGTTCTCGGAGAAGAAAAAACTTAAGGTGTGAGTGAAAGACTGACCAAAACAATACCTCTAAAATGGTGTCACAACCTGTGATTTGGTTGTGAAGATGCGCAATATTGGTACTCTCCTTGGTATAATCTTTGATTGCTTGGTTCTCCACCTCTCGTAACTCCAGTTCAATCTGATGAGAGTATTGGCGCAAGTCAGTTCCTTCTTTGAGTACCTCCTGGACCACTTCATCTTCCAGAGTGTAATCAGGTTCATCATCAATTACTCTTTTGCCAAGCATTTTTAAATGTTGTCCAATAAACCTGAAAGGTGTGTACTATCTTGAGAAAGGGTCGCCCTTTCTCAAGGTACTATACATTTCTTGGTTAGTAACAATGTATGCTGTAAGCGCACAGATGTGTGGAAAGAATTCTCAAAATAGTTTGGATCTAGAATTTCACTCCAGACACTTTTTGTAGCCTTCGCATCCGCAAACTTACAAAATATAAGTTAGTCTTGATCAGAAAGGCAACAGTTCAGGAGGGTACTTAAAAGAAATGTGAAAAGCAGAAGAACTTCGTTCCTCCAGCTGTCAAAAGACAAAAGACGTCAAAGTAAACAAACAAACAAACAACGGAAGGGCGGGTGTTTTAAAAAGCCAGGCATTTTAAAAACTCCCGCCCATCCTGGTTTTCCGCCTGCCCCCGCTGCTCAAATCGCTTTACACCTCTCCTGCTTCCTCAAAAAGAAAAGAAAAATAGAATAGTTCAAAAAATAATCTTGTAAAGTTCTTGTTTTATTAAACCTATTTCCATGGTGAAATGCAATCAAAGCCTGAAGCAGTAATTTTCTTTCTCAAAGGTTGTCGAAGTGCAATCTCCCGGCGTCGGCTGCTGGAAGAAAAACAAACTGCTTGTGCTGCTGATTGTTTGTGTGTTGTGCCTGCTGCCGATCAACTGCCGACAAAAATGACAACATTCTCTGGTTGTTGTTGTAGTTGTCGTTGAAGCTTTCGTTTGCTGTCACACAGCTCGCATGCTTTCAACCGGTGAAGCTGCTCCAGGATGTCTCGTGCACAGCCGCTCGGCGACAGGTCGCAGTAAGTTGAGGTTGGTGAAGGCGCCCTGCTTCTTCAGGATTTGATTTAGTTTTGGTTCAGCCTTATCTCTTTACATTGCAATTCCAACCATGTCAATTATTTCAAAAGTTATTGCGTATGAATTCTTTCTGTTGACGTTCTCACAGTGCACTTATTTCATGATGGAGATTCCAATCCTGTCTTTTCTGGTGAACCGTTTGAAATTGCTGCTATTCCATGTGATTGGCTATTTCAAGAGAGCGCTATGTTGCTTTGGAAGACGAAGGCGTGACTCCTGGGATGCTGCCCCTCTTACTGGTGTTGGGGTGATTCCGTCTACAGTACCTGAGGTATCCTTGCAGTCGAAAAAGTCCGTGTACTCTCCTCCCGAACCAGGTTAAACTTATTATGACCGACTGTTTTCCTGATAGATAGAAGAAAACTGGCCTCAGTGGGACCACACTAGTGACCCTGACTGTGTGCTTACACATCAAGAAAACAAAAAGCCATGTGACATTCAAGAGCACATTGAGCTCTACAGGCATCAAACTATGGCACTTGCTAGGAAGTCATCTGAGGATCAAGTTGAGAATGAAGCAAATTACTTTCAGGTACATGTAAATACTCACATCACTCTATTTTCCTATTCTATGTTGTTGTTTTTTATCCTGGTTTTTGCATTTATATAACTATTTTTCTTTCCCTGGTTCTCAGGACATGATACCCACCATCACTAAGCAAAAGAAAATATATGTTAGCAATAGCAGGAAACAGAGAGAAGTTGCTACGCCAAGTCTTTCTCTTGGTGTTCAAATGGTTCCTGTTGAGGTACAAACATATTGTTCTGGTTTCATTGCCAGGTCACTTCTGTCTATTTCTATGATTGGTTTTAATTAATAAGTAATTTGCTTTCAGGCAAACGGTGAATTAGGTGAATGGGTTGAAAATCCAGGCTGGGATGACGATACTCACTTAGACTGTGACGAAACTGTTGATGCTATAGTGCGAGAGAAACGAAGAAAAGAGCGAGAAAAAAGGTTGCTTGAGCAGCAACAGCGACGCATAGAGCGACATGGAAGAGCAGTGCCCTTAGGTGCACGAATTAGTTGAATATATTTACCCAACATTTCTTTCTTTCCCTTTGAAAGCATCTGTTAAGGGTGAAACAGTAATATGTTTTTCTAAAATTGTTGTGGAACTCTTTCTTACCTGCCTTATTGGTTTGCATATATGAGCTTAACTACCGTGTATATATTCCCCCATTGTGACTAACTGGCTTGTAAATGTACTCGAAAGGTCACACAATTATGTGTTGCAACTGGATGCAGGAAATACATAGTATTAAAGATCATTTCACAAGCAAATGAACTGTATAATTTGAATAGACTCTTCAAGAGCATTTACTCTAGATATTGGTATGAATTCCACCAAAGTTACTCCCCTTCTTATCTTTAATTTTATGATAGGTTGCAATCTATGTCCATGATTTATTGTTCATTTTTGAGAGTGTTTCTAAAGATCATGTATCTAATGTATTTTGTGTTGTCAATTTGAAGGAAACTTTACCACACAACGTCTATAACTAGCTGTCTCTTCTCTCATAGTTAAGATTGTTTATTTTGCAGAAATTTCCTTCTCTCTGATCTCAAGATTTACTGTTGTTCACAGTTTATGATGAGCAATGGAAGGTGATGTGATTGATGGTGATCCCTATTGGAGGGTCACCTGTTATTTTTAAACATGGAGAATATTTTTAATATTAGCATTGATTTGGTTAAGATAATCTTGTAAAATTTATCTCCTTGAATTTGTAGAGTGTTCATTGATATACTGTTGCTTTTTAGAAATGGCTCATTTTATTAGCTATCATATTTTTTTAAAGTACTTCAATATCTGTTTTCTTCCATTTTGTAATGAAGTGTAAAATCATAGAAGAAAAGGGGTCATCCTTTGCTCAGCTATAGATTTGCTTCTCTTACTCCCTGTTTATTTTGTAGGTACTGTTTTGGTCCGTACCTCCTGGTGGTTTGTTATTATATATGATTCATTTTTAAGATTTGTTATTGATTGTTATTTTTCTCAAAAGTCCAAGTTGTGGTACCTTTTATGTTGTTTTTTTTTCTAGATAATTTTTTTAAAAATCTATCCATCTACTTTAGTTGTAGGAAGAAGAATGGCAGGTAGAACATAAACATTCACAATTGGTCCTATCTCTGACCATTCGGAACCGTATTGTAATTATATGTTCTCCACACAGTTCTTCCTCATCCATTAAGCTGACGCACACTATTGTAGTTTCAAATTCTTGCAACATTCTTGATCTTTCATTTAATGTCAAAATCATTGTAAGACTGGATTAAAAACAGTTGAACATTTTTCCATAGGTTCATGTTTAAATGCGTAAACATTGTACTTGTTTGCCTTGGCCAAGAAATAAACTGAACTATCTCAGTTATGGTCTCGGTCCTTTGCTTGTGTGACCCACTAGTCTTCTAATTTTAATTGGCGTGACAACTCCTCAAATGGTTTGCGACTTTCCAATATTACTTCTCATCTCATAGCAGGTTACCTCCCTCGAATTTTGAATTTACCTTACACAAACAAATTTGCATGACTATGGGTCAAGGAGCTTGCTCGTGAATAGTTGTTCCCAGCGCCGGACACCGGGCGGTTCGACTTCAAACGCACGGCAGCATAGCAGGGCAGTCCGGCAAGGGGAGGGAG